GACTGGGACACGCCGTCACCTTAACCAACAGGCCAGTCTTGGAGCCCCAGCTCTGCTACTTCTTTACCTTGGCCATGTCATCTCTGAAGTCCCATTTGGACTATGGAAACCTGGAAGCAGAGCACTAAGCGCTGCCTAGGCAGTTCAGGCACGCTAGGTGCTGAACCAGTTACAGATAAGGAGACCAGCTTGTTCGGTTCAAGGACAAGGAGACTCAGATGTTCATAACATTCTCTCAGAAGAGATAGCCAAAAGAATTAGTCTAAGTTCTTCCAAAAAGTGATGTAAGCCTAAGTTTAAAAGAGCAATGCTGCTGTAAGAATGGAACATTATATTTCTGGCAAGACTGTTCGTGGCAGGTCAGCTACCTGGCAGCGATGCGTCCCTGTTAGGGATCAGGGAGGGAGGCAACTGGGCTTATGCTGAGATGCGCGTATTTGTTCTTGTCCTCAGTTCCCATTCCATTTTATGTCTTTGGTGTACTGGGTTGAATAGTGTCCTCCTAAAACTCATGTCTACCCAGAATCTCAGAATGTGACCTTATTTGGAGATAGAGTCTTTGCAGATGTAATCAAGTTAAAATGAAGTCAAATTGGAGTAGGGTGGGTCCTGAAGCCAATATCACTGGTGTCCTTATAAGAAAAAGAGAAGAGCCACAGACACACAGGGGAGAAGGCCACGTGAAGACAGAGGCAGAGATGGGAGTGAGGTGTCCACATGCCAGGGAACACCAAGGAATCCCAGCCACCAGCAGAAGTGAGGAGAGAGGCGTGGAACAGATGCTCCTCGGAACATGCAAAAGGAACCAATCCTACCAACACCTAGATTTCAGACTTCTGGCCTCCAGAACTGTGAGGGAATAAATTTCTGCTGTTATGTTATGTAATCCTTTCATTTTTCTCTCTTTCTCTTCTCTCTCTTTAACACATACCTGCAAACTCAGCACTCGACATAGGTTATATCACTTAATCTTCACAAAGTAAAAATTCTTATTGGAATCAATTTCCAGGTAGCTGAGGATAAAGGCAGCCCCTTAAATCCAAATCTTCCTACATTTCCTCCAAAAGCAACCAGGAACAAGAAAAACAAATAAAACTATCTAAAACCCACACCCTCAGCAGAAATAGAAGACAGAGAATGCCCAAATGTCAAATTACCTATAAGTAGAAAAACAAACACCAAATCTCAGGGAATTATCTCTCAGACTCCAACACTAAGACATAACAGGGAGCAAAAGCTGACTAGAAAAACTGCAGGAGACGGAAGACAGGAGCTGGCGGAGAGCTTAAGACTGACCTAAACTCAACTCCAGAGAGAGAAAATTTACTCTAAGGCATAAATACTGCAAGAGATGTGATGGATCAGAGCACCAACTAGAGGGAGGGACACAAAAGTATGCACAATTCTAGGGGACAGTCCTCAAAAGACCCCTGGGGGAGAAGAATGGAAACAATGAGTGAGCAAGTGAATATATTGCTGATGGTGGAGCCAGGTTTCTCACTGTAGGAGAATGGTGGTCCCCGTATGAAAAAGGGATGACTAGAGTGGACCTTATGGCGTTGGCCTGGAATTGGAGGTATCATGATCTTTCATATTGGTAAGTAAAAAGATAAAAAACGATATACAGGTATTTGTGTGTATAAACTCACACTCATGTATGTATGTATTTACATACATATGTTTCCCAGCTCTATGCACTCAGACGGCCTAGAAGTAAGGACATCTCAGTAACACTCAACACTACTAGTGCTCAGACATTGGCTTCTAAATTCTTCCTCCACTAAAAGAAATCAGAATTCTTTGGAGAAATGCTCCTGTACTAGAGCAGTGCACGTTCAAAATGAGTCTAGAGCATCTTTGTGCACCAGAAAGTAAGGAAGTGCTTCAAGAATGATAGGAACAAGTCAAAAGGACACAGGAACGGACTGAAGATCCCACTGGCTAAATCTGGAATAATTTGAGCAAAAATAAATAATAATAATAATAAGGGATTGTAATAGAAAAGTTCTACCTTATTGTAGAATGCAAGTAACTCTAGTAGGGATGATGGAAATTGGAAAATCATTGTGTGGCAACCATCATAGAAGTAATTGATTCAATCACAAATCATCGATGGGTGCTAAAACTAGTAGTGAAAGCTCGAGGAGAAACAGGATGTTTACATAGTCTCGAAGTATCTCCCCATAAGACACTTACTAATTACAGAGGGGAAAATGGTAACTTTATGAGACACCATGGGGCCGGCCTGGTGGCACAGCGGTTAAGTTCGCACGTTCTGCTTCCCGGTGGCCCGGGGTTCACCGGTTCGGATCCCTGGTGCGGACATGGCACCGCATGGCACGCCATGTTGTGGTAGGCGTCCCACGTATAAAGTAGAGGAAGATGGGCACGGATGTTAGCTCAGGGCCAGCCTTCCTCAGAAAAAAGAGGAGGATTGGCAGTAGTTAGCTCAAGGCTAATCTTCCTCAAAAAAAAAAAATTAAATTAAATTAAAATTATAATAGAGACACCTGGCAGATATCACCTTGATCAAGCGAGCTAGATTATTACCAGTAATGTGAGAAATCAACATGTATTGAAGAAGAACTCAGTGCAAAACTGAATAACCTAATCTAATAAAAAGGGCATATCAGAGAAATACAAATTGAAGGGCATTCTACGAAGTAAGCAGCCTGTTCTCTTCAAAATGTCAAAGTCATGAAAGCAAAGAACGCCTGAGGAATTGTCATAGATTAAAGAAGTCTAAGACAACTAGAGATCATTGGGACAATAGGCAAAATTTGAGTAAGGTTTGTAGATTAGATATAATATAGCATCAATGTTAATTTCCTGATTTTGATAAGTTTTAAATACAAAAATGTGTTTTGAGGAAATACACACTGAAGTATTTAGGGATAAAAAAGCATCTGCAATTTACTTTCAAATGGTTCTGGAAAAATTACGCATACACACACACACGCCCATGTGAAGAGAGAGAGAGAAGAAAAAGAAAGTAAATGTGGTAGAACATCATTAACAATGGGATATCCAGGGGAAGTCCCATGGATTCTTTATTGTGTTCTTGCAACTTTTCTGTAAGTTTGAAATGATTGCAAAATTTACAAGTTTTAAAGAAAGGAAATTTTCAAACTTCTCATTTGGCAAGCAAATAAACTGTATATTAGCTTGGGTTCTGCCCATGGTTACGCAGGTGGCAGGCAGGGGGGCCAGGAGTAGAGGCCAATGTGTCCCTTGCTTGCAGCCACCACAACATCCTCCTGCTCACTGAGTTAGCCAAGTCCCCATATTGGGAAATTCTCTTTACATGCAATGTCTAGAATAGACAAATCTGTAGGCAGAATCTAGGTTAGTGATTGCCTGGGGCTGGGGGTGGGCGACGGAAGGGGAAGATTGGGGAGTGATGCCTTAAGGGTATCAAATTTCTTTTGGGGGTGATAAATATGTTCTAAAATTGATTATGGGGATAATTGCAAACTCTATGACTATACCAAAAACCTTGGAATTGTACACTTTAAATAGATGTATGGTATGTAAATTATATGTCATGTGAATTATATCTCAATAAAGCCATTCCCAGGAAAACAAAAACTTACAAATGGAATCTAAGCTCAGAACTTTGAGGTTCTTAATAGGATCATGGCATGCAACTTTATTACAGGCACAAGTGACTCCTTAGGAACAAGGAAGAATCCTGCTGGGACCAAAGAAATGGTGAAGTGCTGCACCGTTGGTTACTAAAGCCTAGATCAGCCCTTGACCGAAGTTGGAGATCAAGAAACCCCAGTCAGAGGGCGGTGGTGGTCTGCTCGCCCAGAGGGTGAGTCCCATGGGGCCTGCTCAGCCTTTGGAAGACCAGGGACTTGACAAGGCTAAGAGGAAAGCAGACTTTGTTTCTATTTCAAAAGGATCCATGTTTGAGGGGGGAACATTTTTTATTATCTTCTCCCCATCAACCTTGTTCAATGCTTGATCTCCTGAAGCATTCAGATGTAAAAATCTGATCATAGAAAAGCTTTGATTTCATTTTTGCTTTCTGTATTTCTGTACCATTTGAATATGGGCAAAGTAATTTGTAATCATCGTTTTGCTCTTACCCAACATACTTTTGTGCTGGACAGGTAGGTAGATGTCTCAAGCTGAGACTGTATCTGGGCCCCTTGTTTGATGAGCATAACAGAATGTCCTAATAAACTTAAAATAACCCACCTGGAGGCTGGCTTCTTAGGAAATGCCTGCCCTTCCTATCTGTAGATAAAGCTACTTATGGAAATACATAAGATCTCTTATGGACCTTTATAGCTTTCTAAAATCCTTGCTGGATAGAGGTGGACAACGACAAAATAAACCATCAATAGCAACTGATGTGATAAGTTTGGTGTAACTCCTTGTTCTATCCCGTAATAGCAAAGCCCCTTGGTTTGAAGGAGTCAAGTCTTTATTGGAGTCCCTTTTGCTCTTTCTTGCTGTGTTTCTTGCCTGGTACAGAACATAGCAGAAGGTGAGATTCCCTTCATAGAATTAACCATCCCTGGAAGGTTAAGATGCCACTCAGATGCAGCATCTCCAGAGAACCTGTAAACAGGCTAAAAACATGTGCTTTCAAATTAAAACCAACCTGGATCTCGATCCTGGCTCACCGCTCCTTAAGATGGCATATGACATATAAGTTATTTAACTTTTGTAAGACTATCTTCCCAGTTGTGCCGTGGGAATAGGAATATTTATTACCTCGTTGGGCTGTTTCATGGGTCAAGCAAAACAGAACACATCTTTCTTGGTACCTGGCACATAGAAAGGACCCAATATGTTTTAAGCGTTATTGTTATTCCAAGAAAAAATTCTATTTAAAATCATACGCTGCTTCCCCCCCTAAAAAAAAATCATATGGTGCTCAATGATGAAAGTGTAACTCCTCTGAAGCTTAGTTTCCCCATTTTTAAAATAAGAATAATTTACACAGCAAAAGTAGGAATTAAATAAGAAAATATATGAGACAGCGATTTGTAAATTACATGGCTATTTAGTCGTATTTAATACATTGGTTTTGTCATTGTTGTTACTAGTACTGTGATACTTGAAGCAATCATAATTGCTGTCCTATCCCCATGCAAAATCCACAACCAGTCTCAATTTTCAACCTCAGGATTAAGGATGATAAAGATATACTGTGTTTTCTTTCCTGAAGAAAAAAAAACACAAAAGAAAAGACTCATTAGGGAATGAAATGGCACATGTTACTGCTAACTGTTTAAAAGGGCAAATTCAGTTAAGGTTTTCAACCTCACAGTTTGCAATAATGAGTAATCAAGGGAAATAAGTCAAACGTGTTAACGCACATGCAGGCAGAGTAAGACCGCCGGATTTGGTTGTAAGCGTTCCAAATCCTGTTGGTCTTTATACAGACAAAATGCAGAGATAATATGACAAAATATAGCTAAGACCATCAAGAACAACATTATGAATCTGATCTCAACAGCTGGGTGCTTGGAAACTAAGACCAAAGCATCTCCATGGTCCAGAGGTGACCTATTTTTGAGGCTAGAGGAAGGGATTCTCAAACTTGAGCAAGCATCAAGGGTCACACAGAGGGCTTGTTAAAATACAAATTGCTGGGCCCCACCACCTCAGAGCTCCTGAATTATTAGGTTGGGGTGGAGCTGAAGCATGTGAATTTCCTATACATATTATGTATATTACCTACATAATAGAGGTATTTCTGTAGTAATGCCCAACTCCACAAGGATGCTTAGAAGGGGAAGAGGAGAACACAGCATTTTGTTTTGCTTTTACCTTTACTGAGGACTAATTGACGTATATAATTGTGTATATTTAAAATGTACAACGTGATGATTTGAAATGCATATACACTGTGGAAGGATTACCAAGATCAAGATGATTAACACATCCAACACCTCATGCAAACTCTTGTGTGTGTGTTTGTGTGTATGTGTGTGAGTGTGGTGAGAATGCTTAAGACCTACTCTCAACTTGTGAGTACATGATACCCTATCATTAACTAGAGGCACATTGCTGTACATGGGGGCCTCAGAACTGATTCTTCTTATAACTGAAAATTTGCACCCCTTCACCGATGTCACCCCATTTCCCCCTTCCCCTTACCCCTGGCAACCACCACTCTACTTCCTGTTTTTATGAATGTGGCTTTTCCACATTTCACATATAAGTGAGATCCTGCAGTATTTGTCTTACTCTCTCTGGCATATTTCACTTAGCATAATGCTCTCCAGTTTCATGTTGTGGCAAATGGCAGAATTACATTCTTTTTTTGTGTCTGGATAATATTACATTATATATTATGTAGAGAATATATATTAACATAATAAATATGTAACATGTGTATCACATTTTCTTTTCTTTTTTTTTTTTGAGGAAGATTAGTCCTGAGCTATCTGCTGCCAATCCTCCTCTTTTTTTGCTGAGGAAGACCGGCCCTGAGTTAACATCCATGCCCATCATATGGGATGCCTGCCACAGCATGACTTGCCAAGTGGTGCCATGTCTGCACCCAGGATCAGAACCTGCAAACCCAGGGCTGCCAAAGTGGAACCTGCGCACTTAGCCACTGCACCACCGGGCCGGCCCCTCACATTTTCTTTATCCATTCATCCATAGAAGGACATTTAGTTTGCTTCCATATCTTGGCTATTGTGTATGTTAAAATGAACATGGGTGTACAGATAGCTCTTTGAGATGCTGATTTCAATTGTTTTAGATATATACCCAGGAGTGGGATTGCTGGATCATATGGTAGTTCACTTCTGCACTTTTTGAGGAAATGCTGGACTGTTTTCCATAATGACTGCACTAATTTACATTCCTTCCAACAGTGTATAAAGGCTCCATTTTCTTCACATCTTGCCAACATTTGTTATCTCTTGTCTTTTTGATAATAGCCATCCTAACAGGTGTGAGGTGATATCTCATTGTGGTTTTGATTTGTATTTCCCTGATGGTCAGTGATGTTGGGCACCCTTTCATATACATATTGACCATTTGTATAGCTGCTTTGGAAAAATGTCTGTTCGGGTCCTTTGTGCATTTCTTAATTGGATTATTTGCTTTTTTGCTATTGAGTTATAGTTATATAAGTTTTTATATATTTTGGACAGTAATCCCTTATCACATATATGGTTTGCAAATATTTTTTCCCATTCTGTAGACTATATTTTCAATTTATTTACTGTGTTGTTTCCTGTGCAGAAGCTCTTTACTTTGATGTGGTACCACTTGTTTATCTTAGCTTTTGTTGCCTGTGCTTTTCGTGTCTTATCTAAGAAATCATTGCCAAGACTAATGTCAAGGATGCTTTTCTCTATGGTTTTTTCTAGGAGTTTTATAGTTTCAGGTCTTACATTTTAAGTCTTTGATCCATTTAGAGTTAATTTTTGTGAGTGGTATAAGATAGGGATCCAGTTTCATTTGTTTTTTTCTTTCTTTCTTTCTTTCTTTCTTTTTTTGGTGAGGAGGATTGGCCCTGAGCTAACATCTGTTGCCAATCTTCCTCTTTTTTTTTCCCCCTCCCCAAAGCCCCAATACACAGTTGTATATCCTAGTTGTATGTCCTCTGGTTCTTCTATATGGGATGCTGCCGTAGCATGGCTTAATGAGTGGCGTGTAGGTCCGCGCCCAGGATTGGAATCAGCAAACCCCAGGCTGCCAAAGCAGAGCTTGCAAACTTAACCACTGCTCCATCAGGCCAGCCCCCAGGGTTTCATTCTTTTGCATGTAGATATCCAGTTTTCCCGGGGCCATTTATTGAAGAGACTATCTTTTCCCCATTGTGTGTTCTTGGCACCACTGTCAAAAATTAGTTGACCAAATATGCATAGGTTTATGTCTAGGCTCTCTATTCTCTCCCAATGGTCTATGTGCCTGTTTTTATGCCAGTACCTCAGAGTTTTGATTACTGTGGCTTTGTACTATAGCTTGAAATCAGGAAGTGTGATGCCTCCAGCTTTGTTCTTCTTTGTCAAGATTGCTTTGGCTATCTGGGATCTTTTGCGACTCTGTACAAACTTTAGGATAGTTTTTTCTATTTCTGTGAAAAATGCATTGATGTTTTGATAGGGATTGCATTGAATCTATAATTCATTTTGGATAGTATGGACATTTTCACACTATTAATACTTCAAATCCAAGAACACTAGATATCTTTCCATTTATTTTATTTGTGACTTCTTCGGTCTCTTTCATCAGTGTCTTATAGTTTTCAGTGTACAGGCCTTTTACCTCCTTGGTAAATTTATTTTTAAAATAAATTTATTAAATTTATTCCTAAGTAGTTTATTCTTTTTGATGCTATTATAGATGAGATTGCTTTCTTAATTTCTCTTTCAGATAGCTCATTTTTGGTATATACAAATACAACTGATTTCTGTATGTTGATTTTTATCCTGCAACTTTACTGAATTCATTTATTAATTCAAACAGTCTTTTGGTGGAGTCTTTAGGATTTTCTATATATAAGATTATGTTATCTGCAAACAGAGAATTTTACTTCTTTCTGATTTGGATATCTTTTAGTTCTTTTTCTTATTAATTGCTATGGCTAGGACTTCTGGTACCATGTTGAATAGAAATGGTAAGAGTGGGCGTTCTCATCTTGTTCCTGATCTTAGAGGAAAGGTTTTTAACTTTCACCATTGAGTAGGATGTTAGTTATAACCTTGTCATATATGACCTTTATTATGTTGAAGAACATCCCCTATATACTTAATTTGTCTAGAGTTTTAATCATAAAAGGATATTAAATTTTGTAAAATGCTTTTTCTGCATCAATTGAAATGATCATATGATTTTTCTTCTTCATTCCGTTAATGTGGTATGTCAGATTTATTGATTTGTTTATGTCGAACCATCCTTGCATCCCAGGGATGAATCCCATTTGATCATGGTTAATGATCCTTTAAGTGTGGCTTAATTAAGCTTGAATTCAGTTTGCTAGTATTTCGTTGAGGATTTTTGCATCTATGGTCATCAGGGATCTTGGCCTGTAATTTCCTTTTCTTATAGTGTCCTTGTCTGGCTTTGGTGATCATGTTAATGCTGGCCCTGTAAAATGAATTTGGAAGTGTTCTTTCCTCTCCAATCTTTAGGAAGTGTTTGAAAAGGATTGGAATTAATTGTCTTTAAATGTTTGGTAGAATTCACCTGTGAAGTCACATGGTCCTGGGCTTTGATTGGTTGGGAGATTTTTGGTTACTGACCATCACAGTGTTTGATTTCAAATGGAAGCATCTCTGTAGAAGGTGAGGAATGGGAAGTGAGAGGATTGAATTGTGGTCAAGAAGGCCTGTTATCTGTGGAGACATCTGTTCTATGAAGCAGTGGAAACCAGAGATTCCTCTGCCTCTACTGGCTCGCTGGAGTCTCTAGTTCAGAGCATTGGTGGGCTCCCAACTTGTCCCAAGAATGCAATTTCAGTGCAAAGGGGAGTCCGTTTGGCCTGACGTGGATACCACAATCCTGGGCGCTGCTGCAAGTGCCCTGAAAGGACATGAAGGGATGTGAGGACGCCTTTCAGCAAACAGCTGCCAAGAGGAGCCCAGCTTTTTGTTCTGTCTCTTTATTGTTCGTTGAGCAATTTCAGGTATTACCGGATTCCCAGCTGTGACTGAATTCCTGGCCCATGAAAAGCACCATTGTTATTGTAACTGGGCAAAGTTATCAATAATGACCAGCACTTTTCTAAGGCTTACTATGTCCTGGGCACTTTATACGAATTATGCTCTATAATCCTTATATCAATCGGGAAAGTAGGAGCTACTATAATTTTCCCCATTTTTCAAATGAGGAAACTGATGTTAAGCAGCTGGTCCTAAATCATAAAGCCAGTAAATAACAGAGCTGGGTTGGAAACAAGAGCTCACACATTCCTCATCCTGGTCTATATTCAGACAACACCAGCACGCGTGAAGAATGATCTGTGACTTACGCATTTATAAAACTTTGCTGATACCTAAGAACCTTTAGAAATGAAAGAATTTCTATATGTATATCTTCCCACTCCTCTTAAAAAACATGATTATTTCTTGTTGCCACTATGCTGTAATAAACTACAAAATGATGCAGAGAAATGCAAACAGACTTCCCTGTGTCCTATCAGCCTGAGAAATATGTTTTATTTTATTAGACCAACAGGGATTCTCCTAGTCCGGA